TCTTCTCTGTATCGTTCCAATTTTTAGTGTATGTGCTGCCGAAGCGAGCACCGTTTTCATTTCTTTAGTTCATCCCTGTAATATTGATTCAGTTACACAAACATTGAGAGCTTGTCCTGTTTACCAGGTGATGAGGACGGGGCACAGATAAGATATAAACACACAGTTCCCTCTCTCAAGGACCCTAATATTGAGCAAGAGGGACAGGGAGCCATCTGGAGTGTGCAAGACTTGGCACCCCCCCATCCAATTCCAAAGGGAAGAGGCAATCGGGGCATGTGCCCTCTGCATTTCATCACCCTCTTTTTTTAGCCACCCGCAACCCCTCTATTCTTTTTATCCAACCAGTGTGCCCACTCTGTGCCTGGCGCGTCCCATGCACCAGGGTTCCGCGCTTCTATAAAGAGTCTCGCTCCACGCTCTTGTTTTCCTTCTTAGCAGACACCACCATACATCCTGAGGTCCTCCTGAGGCTCCAAGTTTAAATAACTCTTAAATTTAAATGAAAACTGTAAACTATTAAATTAGGCACTGTTTTGAACTGTACATCACATCACTATAAGACTAATAACTCAAGATGTTAGACAAAGTGAGTGACATAGAAAATGGGTTCCATAGAACGGTGGCAATCAGAGAGGTAAAAACAGTGACGGACATGCCTGGGAGTCCCAGCGGTAATGAGCACTGGTGCATCTCTGCTGAGCGGGCTCAGCTCTGTGGCACCTGTTCTACTTCTGCTCTCCACCTCACCTTCTCCACCGAAGTCATCCTTAACCTGTGAGGAGCTGATTGACAGGAGCCCCCACCCTTGAAAGAACTAAACCCAAGAAGTGACTCTTCATGATAATGTTATTGTTTCTCAGGAAGCCATTTCCTGACATGAGCAGACAGGGTTTCCCTAGAAACTGTCACTACCTGGTCCCACCAGGGCCACCCCGGAGCGAGCACAGAGTGAGGAAGCACAGACCCCCATGTAAGCACACACGTGTTCTGCAGCAATTCTTAAAAACATGACAATAACGCCACCTGGCCACTTGGAGTTGAGTCTGCGCAGCGATGTGTATTCTTTTTGTCATTGTTAATCCTCACCCAAGGATTTTTAGAGAGAGTGGAAGGGAGGGAGGAGGGGAAGAGAGAGAACATCACTGTGGGAAAGACACATCAATTGGTTGTCTCCCACACGATCCCCAGCCAGGACCAGGGATCAAGCCTGCAACCGAAGTCTGTGCACATGAAGGGAATCGAACCCTCGACCCTTCAGTCCACAGGCCAACGCTCTACCCACTGAGCCAAACCAGCTAGGGTGTGATGTGTATTCTAACAGGATTCCAAATGTATTGCGTTAAAGTTTGTTCTAACTACTGATTTTCTGTTCTATAAACTAGACTTTCTTCAACAGGTTTATGTTTCTTCTCCCCCACCCCCCACACCCTCAGAAACAAAAAAAAAATTTAAAAAATACCCAAGCCGATTCGATGTTTTCACCTGGCTAAGGGTTCCTTCTCCTGTGCTACATTCTGAGGTGAAAGCATGTGGCTTCAGTTTCCACGTGGATTCCTGTATTAAAACAGTGACTATTTGGGCGATTTGAAAAGCTCTTCTGAAGTTCCAAGAAACTAACCAGTTATCAAATAAATACCAAGACTTTTGTTTTATTTTATCTAACATTTAACACACACTCAGAAAAGTGCCTACGTTAGAAGCTAACCTACTCCCTAAATACAAATAACCTGACATTCGGAAAGTTAAATACAACTAAAACCGTGGGGCAGAAAACCACAGGAGCAGAGGTCTCGGGCCTGCCCTGCCTCCCAGTTTCCCACGGCAGCCAACACTTGAGAAATTCTCCCGAGGACAGATTCCCAAGGAGAAGAAAGCACCTCGGAAGGAAGGAAGAAGGCTGCGATCCTTGCATACGCTCTGGGACTGCAGCCACAGCTCCAAGGAAACGTGTCATTCTGCGATCCCTCCAAGGGGAGGTGCTGAGCAGCACCGCTGACCACTGAGGCTGCGCTTGCCTCTGCCATTAGCTCGTACTTCACATGCACTAAGCCTTCATCTAACCCCATAACAACCCTAAGACGGGCACTATTGTTACCCCGATTTCAACAGGGGAAGCGAGAGACCAGAGGAATGAGTCAGGTGAGGCAGGAGAAAGGCAGTGGTGGGGCCCTCCACCTACAGAGCAGATGGTGAGGCCGCCAGGAAGTGGTATGGGGGCCAAGAGTGCCCTCGGCCAGGGGAGGGGAGGTGGAGGACCTGAGGCAGGCGTGAGTGTGGATTGTGGCTAACAGCAAGGAGGCCGAGTGGCTGGAGCTGAGCAGGCAGCTGGGAGACAGTGGGAGGGATTAGTCAGGGAAGAGCCGGGAAGCCAGCTCTGAGGGCCATGCTGGGCACCTAGCAGGGGGTGGGGGTTGGGGGCGCCTCTCGTTTTGGTTGCGAATGAAATGGGAGGTCTTGAAAGTGTTCTGAACAGGGGGGTGACGTGAACAGACTGAATGAAAGGGCAGATGAAAAGGAACTGATGAGCACAGCTTGCTTTCGGCATGAAAAAACAACTACACATTCTTGTGCACTTTTTGAAGCTAGATGTTAAATTTCCGTCCCTAACACTTATTCTTTAAAGAACAGTAGAATTAAAATATTGGACTATTTTTCCACTAGTAACTAAAAATACGGGAACCTGGGGTTCAAGTCAACGGTAGGTAGGGCTGGATGCACGCTGGAAGCCAGGGAAGCTCCTAGGTGCGGCCACACCAAGATGATCGGAATCAGATTCTTCAGGGGTGGGGCCCAGGCAAGGTGGGGTGTTTTGTTTTCATCTCCCCTAGTGAAATCGACGGGTGGTGAGCTGAGAACTTACCACACCTCTAGTACAGTGGAGTAAATTATACTTTTCAAAGGGGCATCCACCTCTATTTCATTTGACCTGGGCTTGTAACAGGGAGAGCAATAAGCAGCAGAACTAAACATGCAGTAGGGAAAACATCAAAACTCATAAACCGCCCTGACTGGTTTGGCTCAGTGGATAGAACATCGGCCTGCGGACTGAAAGGTTCCAGGTTCGATTCTGGTCAAGGGCATGTACCTCGGGTGTGGGCACATCCCCAATGGGGGCTGTGCAGGAGGCAGCTGATCGATGTTTCTCTCTTATTGATGTTTCTAACTCTCTATCCCTCTCCTTCCTCTCTGTAAAAAATCAATAAAATATATTTAAAAAACAAAAAACAAACCTCATAAACCATTTCTACCACCTTTTCCAGGCCAATCACTGAAGAATCAATGATTGAGTTAGCCTGAAATAACCCTCTTTATGGTACCTGTAGATTATTCCACCCATAACATTTCATGCTCAAGAATCTTTATTACTCACACTAAATTCAACAGCAGCTTAATTATAAAACCCAGGGCACAGAAGCTTGCCTACCTGCTTCCCAAATACAATCATACAACATTCACATTACAAGCCCGCACATTGTGAATGCAGAACTAACACTGAATAAATAAAGCGCTTTTATTTACAGAGAGTTCGTGCCAGATCAATGAACTCTGATTTCAGAAATGAATGTCACTTCTCACAGGCATGTGCAACTTCAGAAAGCTTAGGAGAGGATTTTTGTTTATGCTCGTGGCTTTATATGACTCACGATGATGTTATACTTTGTAAAAGGCATCTTTCAGAGTAAGTGATGCTGCACTTGGTGGCTGGGTTTGGAGCGTGTGTGGCACGTTTGTATGGACATGCTTTTCATAACCGATGCTAGCATAGCGACTTCCATTCCCAGTTCTTGACAACTGAATGCCACGTGTGTGACTGTGCGGGACCCAGGTGGCCATGCAGCTTCTGCTGGGCAGGGACAATGCAAGCTTTACGTTTACTTTAAAATGAAACAAGCAAGGGACTATGTTAAATTTAACAGACCAACTTCCTTCCCTATGCGGAGGAGAGGCATAAATCTTCCCTCAAAACATATGATCCCAATCTCCACGCTCGGAACTAAAACTGGGCCACCGCCTAAGGTCTCCCAATCGGAACCCATCAGGCCCATGTGTCCAGGGCAGCAGTGGAAGAGTAACTAATATAAACTTTAACCAGGTCAGGAAACACTGGGCCATTGCTAGGACATCTGCCTCTAGTGGGCGGCTACTGAGGTGGGAAATGAAACTCCACACAGACTTGGTGCAGCTTGGGAAGCCCTGGGAAAGCAAGGGCATGCACGGCTTTCCTGGAATAAATCTGAAATAGAAGCAAGGAGTTACCAATCCATGACATAAGTTATTTCAGCAGATTTACATAAACCAAAGAGGAAATTTCCAATCCTTCAGGCCTACGTCAAAGTTCTATCCCAAAGGTATCGTGGCTCAGGTTGTTCTATCTGTATGGGAAGGAGCAATCCTTTACAAAATTCTCAGGGAAAACATTTAAATATCTGAACAGATTCTACATGTAATGCTGCAATCAGGTCTTCTGGGGCCACCCATTTTCTAGATCCTCTAGAACAGCGGCCGCCAACCTTTCGGACCTCACGGACCACCGGTTGGTGGGCGACTGCTGCTCTAGAAGACGCTTAAGGAGGGTGTGTGAGGTATTTTATCCGAGGACTAGAGCAGAGTGAGGAGTAACTACCTCAGTGCATTAAATGTGGCTTCTAGTTTAACACCATTCTTGGCTTGAATATGTCAAGGTTTCCCAAAACTCAATTATACAAACCATAGGCTAATAAGAGATTACCTTAAATGATAACTTCCTTGTTTTCCTTTGTTCTGACAAAAATACCTTATAAACATTTGCCACTTAAAAGGTAAAATAATGGCCAACTTTAGGGCTATATGGCATTCATAAAACGCAATCTGTTCATTAAGATGCATTTAATAGAAATTATCTTAGAAATTATTTTTAGATTTAAAAAACAACAACAAACAAACACAAAACAACTGACCTGACCCACTGCACTCTAGCCACTAGAATTCAAGTGAGCAGGTATTGGCAGGTGACCTACCTACTGCAGGTGCATCATACTCATCCCCAAGCAGAATTTCTGGCGCAGAATATGCGAGAGACCCACAGCTGGTAGTGAGCTTCTTTCCTGGCTGAAATTTGTTGCTGAAACCAAAGTCCGTCAGCTTCACAAGACCTTGTTTTTCAAAGAAGACCACATTCTCAGGTTTCAAGTCCCTGTGAACCACGTGGAGTTTATGGCAATAAGAGATAGCATGAACTATCTGAGCAAAGTACTTCTTGGCCAAGTCTTCATTAAGTCCCTCCTCGTGTTTCATTATGTAATCGAACATATCTCCTCCATCCCCAAGTTCCAGAATGAGATACAGTTTGGTCTGGGTGTCAATCACTTCATAGAGACGCACGATGTTGGGATGCTGCACCAGTTTCATGCACCGCACTTCTTGGAAAAGGTGACCAGTGGCTAGTGTGTCCAACTTGGTCTTGTCAATAACTTTTACTGCCACCTTTTCACCCGTGAAGACATGCCTGGCCAGCTTAACCACGGCGAAGTGGCCCCGGCCCAAGGTTTTATCCAGATCATACAACCCAGCAATCTTCCCGTCGTATCCTCGCTTGAATCCTGCCATGCTGGTCCAACAGAAGAAAAACTATTCAAACTGTTTGAAACGTGTCTTCTCATATAAGAGTATCTGGTGAAAATAAGGAATTCATTTTCAATGTTGCCATGGGCATCTACAAAATAAGAGAAGAAACAAAATTAAGTTTCTGTAACATTTCCTTTTATAATTTCATTAAAGAAAATTTTTAAGAGAAGCCTGAAGTAAGTAAATGGAAACTGAATTTTCATTTCAAAGCCCACACCCTTTATAAACATTTGACTACTCTAAACAATGTTACATTTAAGACACTATCTTAAGAGTTAAAATGTCAACTATAAGAGGCATAAAGTCAATCTCCCATGCAAATGAAAATGATATGAGTCACTACCCCCCCCTCTCTATACATATTTAAATAAACAAAATAAGTCAAAACATGCGAAATGTTTTTCGTCATCCTCATTCAATCCTTACAATTGCTCTCAGAGATAAGGACGTGTGGCCCCGTTTTGAGGCTCAGAGTAGTAGGTAACTTGGCCTAAGCTACAGGCCAGCAGGCACAAGAGGTGAGGCGTCTGACACTAAAACCTGTGCTCTGAACCATTATGCTACACTGTTTCTGCAAATTAATTTTAAAAACTAAATTATTAATTGTTTCTACTAAGATTGTTTAAATAAAAAACCAGTAGTATGTATAAGTGTTGGGGGGGAAGCAAATTTTTTCTATACTGTGTGTTATCTTTGGCATCTGAGCTAATAATTTTAATAAGATTAACAGGAAAATCTAAATGGTAAGATCTTACTTTATTTGGACAGTAGTTCCCCCCCAAAAAGTTTAATTTAAGCATATTTAATTTTCAAAAATAGAACTCTAAGCTAACTCCAGGGGACAGAAAAGTATCTTTAAATCTTTAACTTCAATTAATTATAAGGGCAGTAATTATTCTTAAAATTCTACCCAAGTCAATGTTACTATTGCAAACACAACTTCAGTTTTCAAAACAAACTTCTTCAGGATGCCCCCAAGTTATATAATACATATTTTTTCCATCTATCACTTTAGTTTAGATGCACTTCCTGGAAAGTGGCTATATAAATCACATTTTATAAATAAATCTGTTTAAATTAAATTTTAATTTAATTAATTGAAAATTTTTATTACAAAAGTAGTAAATAGAGAGATAAGGAAAAAAGTCTTTCCTGGGGTACCCGGAGGTAATCACAATTAACACTCTATGACATTTCTCAGAACTGTGCCAGCAAAAGGGCACTATGAAATAAATTTTAATCTACTAGCAAGTTCATGGGAACGAATCTTATAGGATCTCTTGTAAAGAAAGACTACCCTGTAGTGAAATGATTCCTCACTCTCACTATCAAAGAATTTACTTCCTTTGTACACATACCCCCTTTTCAGTGTCTATAAAACTACAGCTGTATTCCTAAAAACAGGACATCATAATTAACTGAAGGTTGGGAGGAAAAATATCCTTGTTAGTGAGCATCTCTTAAAGTATTAGTCCACTGTCTAATCTCACTATCAACTGTATTGTGCGTTAGTGTAGGAAACAACTAAATCTTCTTTGATCTCTGAGGAACTGTGAACACCAATGCCAGCTGTGAGGACGTGGGTTGCACAAAGCAAAGGTGACTTTGTACTGGCTCCGAGACATACCCTGCAAACTGCATACTGAATAATCCTTCTTATTTCTGTGTTTTGTTAGTTGCTTTTTTCTCCTAAAAGAAAACACAGAAAAATATTTTAGTTTAGTTCCATTTGTTTTAAATTTGCTTAAAGTCAAATTATATACCCTAAGGCTGGGTCCAAACATAAAAATGGCATATTTGTCTTTAGTGACCTGTCCCCCATTATCTTTCTCCCCTCTGTGAACTGCAACCGGTTCCAGGAATCTTTGTAGTCAACGGGAATCTCACAGTGAACAGATACCTAGAGATCGTTCCAGGTAGACAGCTCAGAGAGATGATTCCACTGGAAGGAGGAAGAAATGATGATACTGAACAATACTAAACTGGCCATCTTCTAAATGCCTCCTGACAGCAGGCACCAAATCCATACGTCACAGACTCCTCACCCTCACCGAGAGCCTGCAGGGGAGGCACAGTGAGGCTCAAGGTGCCCACTAAGCAGCAGTCCAGGGCTCCAACCCACTCAGCCTGGCTCCCAAGCCCAACCTGCCTGCAGAAGCCGCTCCAGGCTCAGGAACACTCACTCCAGTAGCTCAGGAAGCACCCCCCCCTCCCCCGCATCCTCCAGCAAGCCAGCAGAAATCCACGGCAATGCCACCACCAGGGAACACACCAAACACCTTTGCACTAGAGGCTTTCTACTTGATAGTAGAGAAGAAACTATCACTATGGACACAGAGAATGTGAGCAGCTCACTGACATCGACGCTCATGGCACAGTGAGGGAGGACTGACTAGAGGAAGCCTTGCAGGCCTTTCCAGGACACTAAGTATCACACAAATAACTGAGAGGCCTAGTCAGTCGTAATACTAGGCCAAAGGCAATTTATGCAATCCACTACGGGTTAGTGTCCATACCATTAATTCAAGCTCACACGAGCTTGGGGGAAAGTAGGCAGGAAAGGTGGGTGTAAAAACAAGTGTGTTGCTGGGAATGAGGGCATGGAGAGAGGAGACAGTTCTATAGCACAAAACAGGGCCAGCAAAGTCAAGGGCACAGGCCTGCATCTAATGCCAGGTGATCCCTGGGATGCACCCGGTCCTTCAGCTCCAAGTAGCTCCTCCCATCACCTGTGCCTGCTTCTCTCTTTCATCCACAGTCTCTATGGCAAGGTAGTGTGGGTGGCACTGGTTCTGAAGGCCAACGGCTGGACTGGAATCCCAGCTCAGCAATCACTAGCCACGGGACCTCAGCAAACTCTGATCTCCATGAGTGATGAGTTTCCTCATTAGAAACTACAGTGTAAAAACAGAACCTCATGGGTTGTGGTGAGGATTAACTGAATTAATGTGGGTAGTGTTTAGTATAAAGGCTAGCGTAGAGAAAGCATGCATGAAGCACTAGCTACCTCCACCACCACTGCTGTTCTGATGATTGCATTCCCCCTCACCCAATTAGACACTCTTTCAGTCTTCCCCTCTGTAGGGAGCGGCTATAGGGTTAAGCCTCGGACTGACCTGTTGGCAAAGCCACAAACGAGTCCCAGAGTTGGGGTCCAACCCCAGCAAGTCCAGGGGTTCCCAAAGGTGTGGACGGAGTTGGCGAAGAAGAAATGACACTGAGACAGCATTCAGTTGATCAGCAGCCTAGCCAGGTTCTGTCTTTAGGTTCTCTCCCTAGGTACTCCAGCTAGGTTCTATTTTTATTCTCCTGTTACATCTGTATTTATACCATTTGATTTTAATCCTATCCATTCTATTCTAAAGGTTAGGGCATTTGTTATCTCCATTCCAAGGTCACTACTCTACTGTTCTGTTAAACTACAAGGAAGTAACTGAAGGAGATTATCCTAAGTAAAGATTATGTAGCTTAAATGTGATTGTTCGTAGTTAAGGTGATTAACTACCCACCTGGCACTTAGTTAAGGGGTTTTACTGATTTTTTCCCTTCCTTAGTCCTGTTAATCCCTAACTCCAGGGAAAAATTCCCACCTGGGGAAACAACTTTTCTCGGAGAGGTGACCCTGGTAAAACACATAGCGCTAAGAAGGGGAGCAAACATATCAAGAACAGTATGCCATATATGCCAGGCCCCTTGAAACATATGCTGTGCAGATGTTTCTTCCCTCCAGCGACTGTGTCAAGCAGCAAGGATGGACCGGCTTCTGGCATCCCAGCTTAGAGGGCACAGCCCTCTTCAAATAATTAGGCTTGACCTTATGACCTCCCTAGATCTTATCTGGGTAGCTAATGGGCTGAGGGAGATGCAGCAAGTGCTGCCACAACAAGTGAAACTCACAAGAACACTGTAACTATGGCGACCACTACCTTGTTTACCTCTGACTATAAAATAAAGGCTCAGCTTGCTGTCTGGGTCTTCTCTGTGGCCTTAGCCAGGCACAGGAGATCCACCTAGACCCAGCTTATTCTCTTTGTCTGTCTTTTCTACATCCTTCGCCGCCCCCCCCCCCCCCCCCAGGATCACCGAAACCTTGGGTGAGCTGGGGCGGCGCACCCCTCTACTTCAAGAGAATGAATTTACTGAGCTATTATCTCTGTGGCTTTCATAAAAATCCTGCTGTTCATTTTCCTAACATGTATGAAATTGAAAATGGGTGCTGTAAGATTGATAAAGGAAATAATGTTTCTAGTTGAGCATCAAAGTCTGATGATTTTTCAATAAAACATCACACAGAATCTAAGTACTTGCTTTTAAATTGATACTAAGATGACTTTCTATCAAATCTATCCTTCAAAAAAGGACTATTTCTTTACATTTTTTCCCATCAAAGTAAAACATTCTTACAGAAAAGTCTCAAGAAATATAGACTAGAAATCAGGAAATAAAGAGGTATCCACAGTCCTACCACTGAAGACCAGCACTATTAATATCTTGGAGGTCTTTCTGCAAAGATTCATACGCAACTTCTTTTTTTGTTTTACAAAGGTGTGACCATACTGTTCAAAACTTTATAAGCTGTTTCCTGCTTTTCCTCCTGCCCTATCATTTTCCTTTTAGTAATTTTGTTTCATGTATGGAAGAAATATCTCAGCATATAATCTGTTAATGTTTTGGTAAACAGCCTTCCAAATTATTTTCTATGTCTAATATACGTTCAGACAAAATCTACACTAATAAAAGAGAAACATACAAATTGGATGTCACTCCGCTACGTCAACCAGCCAATCAGGATGAGCATGCAAATTAACCCAACAAAGATGGTGGTTAATTTGCATATGCAGGCGTGGAGTGAAGACTGAAGACTACTGAAAACTGAGGACGACTGAAGACTGAAGAGGCTTGGCTTCTCTGCTTGAGAAGCCAAACCTCGCTGCAGCCGGAGCAGAGAAGCCAAGCCTCGCTGCTGCGGCCGGACCAAAGGCCTGGGTCCCAGTGCTGGCAGCCAGGGGAAGGAAGGCCTATTGCGTGAATCTTCGTGCAACGGGCCTCTAGTTTTTTAAATAAAATGGAATACCCTCGAGCGTGAGCACAGGGACCCAGAGGGGGAGCTGTATCCATTTTTAGGTATTTCTCCTCACAAAATAATACAAGTTCACTTTAGACAATTTGGAAAATGCAGAAAAGCACAACAGCGGTAGAAACTCCACCCATAACCTCTCTTAGAATGACCTCCCTTTGGATTTGAGTACATATCCTTTAAACCTATGCTTCTTTACAACACTAAGATGCCGTATACAAAGAGTTGGATTTTCTTCTATATGATGAACATTTTCCCATGCACCAAGTTATTCTAAATCAATATTTATAATGTGACATAGCTAAGATGGCATCTTTTAAAGTAAGAAAACCACTAAGTTGGGCCGTTCTAAAGCAGTCTTCTAATTTGGCAAATGCTCACACATGCATGAAACCAGGCTGGACCTAAATGAGACAGCCCGAGTAGTCGAGTGTTCACAGGATCTGCGGGAGAAGTACTAGTGTATGTTGCAAGAATATGCTGATGTTCGCCCACTGAGGAGAGAAGCAAGCTGTGTGCGGGCGGGCGTGGCTGGAGAAGAGGAAGGAAGTGTGGGTGGCCCCATACACATTTTGCAAGCTGCTGAAAACAGTTGTAGAACCAGCCTCTGTTAAACCTCCTGTCATTTTGGAAGTCACCCTGTTATTCTTGTCAAAATTCTCTTTTAGCTTGTCACTGACATCACCACCACTGCAGTGTGGTCTGTATAGCAAACAAAGTCTGCCACTCACTCCTCCCCCGGGAGAGGTGAGGGCAGAATGGCCCAGTGAACCGAGGTGGCTCCGCCTGGGTAACTCGGAACCAAGCCACGGCACGAGACAGGAGAGGCGTTGAACAAAAAGGCCATGTGCAAAAACTAGGCCACATTTATAACCTCTCTCTGTTTTGTTTGGGATAGTACAAATTTCCTCACAAAATCAGACTGCCAATATTCAAACGTACAAAAACCTCCCAAACAAATGACATGCTTTTTAAAAAAATATGTGCCCTCAACCTAGCCGATTTGGCTTAGTGGTTAGAGCGTGAGCCTGCAGACTGAAGGTCACAAGTTCGATTCTGGTCAAGGGCAAGTACCTTGGTTGCAGGCTTGATCCCCAGCCCAGGTCAGGGCACATACAGGAAGCAACCAATCAATGTCTCTCTCTCACATCGATGTTTCTCTGTCTCTGACCCTCCCTTCTACTCTCTCTAAACATCAATGAAAAAATATCCTCCACTGAGGATTAACAACTACAAAAAATGTGCCCTCTAATACAAACAACTACAAGAGTTTTTGAAAAGCCACACTAAAATTGGACTTAAGCTTCTTACACATGGAAATTATCTGATATCTTCCTCAAATATAAAAACTGAAAACTGTAATTCTTACTCAGGGGAAATATCAGACAGAACTGTATGTTTATAGAAGAGCCAACTTGAGTGGAGGAACTAGCATTCCCTCAGTGAGTATTAGCCCCCTGACCTTGGCGCCGAACTTTCCAAGATGGCTCCAACAGAAATGGCACAGGCTGAAAGGAAGACAGAAGACGAAATCCTAGGAAACATCAACAACCTCCAGGTCAAGCAAAAGAAACACAACCCTGATGATCTTGTCATCCCAAGTAAACAGCAG